CCAAAAAAAAAAAAAAGGGCACCCACTGGGTCATCTCACCAAATCCACATGGTAACACTACTACTGATCACCACGTATGGAAGGTCCCACTCTGTGGCCGGCACTGTGCCAAGTGATCACCTTGTTGCCTCTCCAAAACAACCCATTATTGCCCCCATTTGACAGACGAGGAAACTGAGGCTTCTAGAGAGGAAGTGACTCACCAAGGTCACCCAGGTAGGATGTGGTAGAGCCGGGCCCCAATCCAGGACAGCAGGGTTGGGCTTGGGACTGTCAGCTCCCCCACTGCCCACCCGTGTCACCTCCATGGAATGCCTGCCCCTCTCGGAGCCTCAGTTTCCCTGAAACTACACTGAAACTCGGCGGTTATCACAGCACCCTCCACATGGGGCTGTTTCATGGATGAGCTGGCTGCTGGTGATTCCACTTCCAGGTGCGAATCCCGGAGACACACTTGCTCACGGGCACAAGAAGGCAGCTTGAGCTGTAAGGGGGTGGGGTGGGGGGGACAGTGCAGTCAACAGGGAACCGTTTAATAAATGATGATGCTACACAGCAGGAGTGCTTCAGTTTTAATGAGGTAGAGCTTATGCCTGAAACCAGAAGGCCCCACTGCCCTTCCCAATTTATTTTATTCCCGAACTCTTATCAGCACCTGACGTGCTACTTATTTTACTTATTGACGCTGCTTTTTGTCTCTCTCCCCTGCTAAACGCCAGCTTCTCCAAGGGCAGGGATTGTCACTTTGGTCACTGCTATATAACCCAGGGCCTACCACGCAGTAGGCCCTCTGTAAATACTGGGTTGAAATGAATAAGAAAATGCCAAATGGCTGAGAGAACCAAAAGCAGGTTGGGAATGATGTGCTCGATTACAAGGAAAATAAATTCACCAAATATGGTTTGATCGGTGTATGTAGGAAAGTATTAAAAAAAAAAGATTTGAACGCTTCTCCGCGATAGAAAACACCTGCACTTCCGGAGGTAAGCTGAGGGGAACTTCACTTTCCCCAATTCTGAAGTGTTTGTTATAACAAAAAGTATTCATGTTCTTAGTGTAGGTAGAAATTAATAAAATTTTAATAAGGAGCTGTCAGCTAAATCTAGAGTGTGAGAAATTCTACAGGATAAGTGACTTTTCCCACAAATTAATGGCATTTTTTAAAGCAGGGAGGGAGGACTCTATCTCAGGGTTTTAAAAGACATTTTAACTAAATGCAGTGTGCGTGCTTTGTTTGGATCCAGATTCAAATAACCAACTATAAAAAGACATTTTGGAGACAATTAGGGAAATGGTGAATACGGATCATGTATCAGAAAGTTGCAAAATTATTAATAATCTCATAAACTATGACAGTGAAATTTTTGTTATGTTAAAAAAACCTTATCTATTGGAGATACATAGTGAGATATGAATGAAATGTCTGGAATTTGCTTTAAAATATTCCACTGCAGAGTGGGAATTAGGTGAGGATTCAGTACAACAAAGTTGGTAAGTAAAACAAGATTCAATATTGATGATCACTAGAGCTGCATGGTGGGTGGGTACATGGAGGTTTATTACCTTTGAATATGCTTGAATATTTCTATAATCAGAAGTTTTTTAAAAGAATCAAATAAATAAAAAATTCAAATAATATTTAAAAGCCCCAGCACGTGGTTACCCTCATTCTGCAGCAACTGCTGACTCTGACACCGGCACCCACTTACAGAAGACGGAACCCAGGCACAGAGAATGGAGCATGTCACCCGAGGACACGCCATGAATACAGACGACCCCGATGGGAACAGGAACTAGGCCTTTCGAGTTGCCCTTCCACTTGCCAAGCCCAGGATACTTTCCTGTGCCGTTGGAGGAGACTGACAGGATGAGATAAGACAGGGCAGAGGCCAGGGTGGCAAGACAGACCAGGGGAGTAGTGGTTGGGGAGGGTTAGGGGCGGGACTGACCATGATGGCAGGTACAGGGGGGTCTGAGGCACCTTCCGTGCTCCTTCTTGTCCCTTCCTGTGAGTACAGAAAGAAAACATCAAAGAGAATGCTAACCAATAATAAGTGGGAAAAACGTACTGGGTTCCTGGGTCCTGAGGCAGGAGGGGTCAGGGGTCTGGATCCTGGGTCTGAGGGAGGAGGGGCCGGGGGTCTGGATCCTGGGTCTGAGGGGGGAGGGGCCGGGGGCCTGTATCCTGGGGCTGAGGGGGGGAGGGGCCGGGGGTCTGGATCCTGGGGCTGAGGGAGGAGGGAGGGGCTGCCGTCTCACCCTGGCCTGGAGCAGCCGCTCCCTCTCTGCCACAGCCTGCTGCAGGAGGCGTTCCATACGGGCGATGTCCGGGTGGAGGGCGCCACAACTGGGAGCAGAGAACAGAGACGCGCAGGTTACAGCAGCCCGACTTCTTCCCCCCATCTCCCCACCTTCTCCCTGATGTCTCACCTATTTCTGGGGCCACAGTTCAGCAGCTGATAGAGGGGGTGTCTTCCGGAGTCTCTGGCTGAGGGCGGGAGGGCCGAGGCCTCCAGGGCTCCTGCAGGGAGAAGGGCTGGGGGGCTGGGATGCTCCCGTGTCTAAGCCCCTCCACCTCTCCCCCAACAGAGGCAGCCAGGTTCCTCCATCCTGTGCTGCAGGAGGGTGGTTAATGGGGGAAGAGCCTACGCAGGGGAGGGGTACGTACTCACCAGTACAATAGAAGGACAGAGGCCGGGGGGATCCCCTCTGGCTCACTCTCTCGCCCCTCTTCCGGGGCAGGCTTCCAGTCCTCTGGAGGCCAATGGAGCCCTGAAAACACACAACGCCCACGCACACAGGAAAAGATGCTCAGGCTCCACCATGAAGTTGGAGAACCGCCAAGTAAAACCACCATCTCACTGGCACAGATCAAAAAGCCACTGTAAACGTGATGCTGAGTGAAAGCAGCCAGTCACAAAGGACCACACAGTGTAACATCCAGAATGGGCAGATCCAGGGAGACAGGAAGTGGGTTAGCGGTTTCCAGGGCCTGGGAGGAGAGGGGAATTGAGGGGTGATGGCTAAAGGGTATGAGGTTTCTTTAGGGATAATGAATATGTTCTAAAATTGATTGTGGTGATGGTTGCACAACTCGGTGACTATACTAAAACCCCCTGAATTGTACGCTTTAAACGGGTGAATTGTAGCATAGGTGAACTATATATCTTGATAAAACTGTTAAAAAAAAACCCAAAAGCCCGCGGTGTTGGTGGGAGTGTGCGAAACCCAGGTGCGCTCCACAATGCTGGGGGCCGTTTTATTGGAACAACCGCTATGGAGGCCAGTTTGGCTCCTTTTTTAAAGTCAATGAAAAAAAAAAAAAGAATAGGAAAAGAAAAACAAACAAAAACAGAAAAGAAAATCAAAATGACAAATGCATAGGTACCTTTGAGCCCCAATTCCACTTCTAGGACTATATCTGTGGAGACACTCAGACATGTGCAAAATGACCTGATTTCAAGGTTAATCCCCAAAGATGCCCGGAGACCACCTAAGTGCCCATCAAAAGGAGGCAGGGATAAACTAGGGATCATCTGCATGGAGGAAGACTCCAAAGCATATAAAAAGGAGGAGGATGCTGTTTTTATCAGACAGAGTAACAGGGCTTCCCTGGTGGCGTGGTGTTTGAGAGTCCGCCTGCCGATGCAGGGGACACGGGTTCGTGCCCCGGTCCGGGAAGATGCCACAAGCCGCGGAGTGGCTGGGCCCATGAGCCATGGCCGCTGAGCCTGCGCGTCTGGAGCCTGTGCTCCGCAACGGGAGAGGCCACAACAGTGAGAGGCCCGCGTACCGCAAAAACAAAAACAAAAACAAAAAGAGGGGGAACGTATATACGTGACTGTTTAAATACAGAGGACCTCTGGGAAGACGGGAGACACTAGTAACCCTGGCCACTCCTGGGAGGTGAACTGTGTGGATGAAAACAATGGTGGGAAAGGTCTTTTCTCTGAATATCCTCCCATGAACTTTAAACTTGGAACAAAAGGAATATTAGTTTAAATAATAATAATAATAAACATGATAACCAAATGCAACCTGTGTTCCTAGATCAGAAAAATTTTTTTTTTCTTTTTTTGTTTTTTGCTTAAAAAAAAAACATTTGTGGGACAACTGGCAAAAATATGAATCACATCTGTGGACTTGAATAATATTGTCTCAATGGTAGCTTCGGAATGTGATCGCTGTACTGTTGTTATGTACGAGAATGGCCTTGACCTTAGGTAATAAGAATAGAAGTATTCAGGGGTAAAGGGGAATCATGCTTCAGAAAAGAAGAATAAACTGTGTGTGTGTATGTGGGTGGGTGTGTACAGAGAGAGAATAAGAAAGCAAATGTCAAATGTGGTAAAATGTTAATCACAGAATCTGGGTGACAGGTATGCAGGAATTCTAGTATTCCTGCAATTTCTGTAAGTCTTAAATCATTTCAAAATAAAAAAAACTACCAAAAAATGAAAACAAAATTATTTGAGAGTAATAACGACAGAAAACTGAAATCATTTCTTAAAGAAAAAAAACAGCAAAAACTCTGCCTGGACAATAAAAATAAATAAGTTGCATAATTTGAACACCAGTAGGGATACTCACTGCTCAAATATATGTAATCCACAAGTTGATAATAATACGAAAATAAAAATTGAATTGGTCACCTTGGAGGATGCAGGAGAACCAACTCTATTCTGAAGACAGGAGAATGAAGTGAAACCATCAAGCATTTTCCCTATATTTCTAACAAAAACCATATCCCTGGGTAACCAAATAATTAATGACGGCAAGTCCCTCTTTCTTTTTTCTTTTTCTTTTTTTTGGCTGCACCACCCGGCATGTGGGATCTCAGTTCCCCTCCATTAGAAGCTCGGAGTCCTAACCACTGGACCGCCAGGGACCCCCTGGATGTGATTTTCTAGATTCATAATATTTTAAAACGTTTTTTAGAATAGTGACCAACATTTATCAAGTGCCTAACAGTGTACTTGGCCCTCGGCAGACCCATTTAAGCTTATAAAAGCCCTGGGAGTCGGGAAAGTTTTGCTCTGCTTCACAAAGAGGAAACCGAGTCCCAAGTTCCTGTGGCTCTTTACTCTTTCCTTCCTTCAACTGATATTCCCAGCACTCCTCAGCTGAGAGACCTTAGATTGTTGGTACTGAGGGAAAAGGTGGGTAAGAGAGACCCAAGCCTTGTCTCCATGGCGCTGACATTGTAGGAACTGAATGAGCCATCGTACAAATAAGTGTATCATCAGAAATCGCTGTGAGTGAAGAGTGTGTTATAAAAGGGTGATATAAAAAAGGATCACCTTCCAACTGGAGGACCAGGAACAGCCTTCTGAACACTGAACCTAAGGCCCAAAAGATAAGAGCTGGTCAGGGGAAATTCCCTGAGAGTCTAGCGGTTAGGACTCCGGGCTTTCATTGCCAAGGGCCTGGGTTCGATCCCTAGTCAGAGAACTAAGATCTCACAAGTCCTGTGGCAGGGCCAAAAAAAAAAAAGTTGGCCAGGGGAGACTGAGGGGAAGGGTGTTCCAGATGGCAGGATCAGCAAGTGCAAAGGCCCTGAGGCAGGAACAAGTATGGAGTGCTGGTGGGTCAGTGCTCCTACAGCTGAGCAGTCAGTACGGGGAGGGGGATGGTGAGAGGTAGGCAGGGGTCAGACCACACAGGGACTTGTGGGCCATGGTGAGGAGACTGGGGGAATCATGGAAGGCTTTTGGTGGGAAGAGCTGAAGTAGGAGGGATGAAGATCACTCTGGCTGTTGTTTGGGGAATAGATTATTGGGAGACAAAAACTAAAATAGAGAAAACCAGTGAGGAGGCTGGTATAGGGTGGGAGTGGGCGGAATAAGAATGATAAAATTACAATAATACCAATCAATATAACTCTAATCACAGTAACAGGTGCCCACATTACTGAGCACCTGTTATGTGCCAGGCATCAATCACACTAAGAGTTTTAATGCATTAACCAATGAATGCCGTTATTATTCCCATTTTGCAGCTAAGTAAATTGAGGCACAGAGCTGTATCTAAGGTCAGCCAGCTAGGAAGTGGCAGAACAGGTACTGGAACCCAAGGTACTCTTAGTCATCACATGATCCTGGCAAGAAGGTATAGAATTTGAGAAGGATTTAATAGGACTTGGAGGGAGAGAGAGGAAGGGGCAAGGAGGAGTCATTTGTTAATCCCTGCATTCATTTATCCACTTGTTTACGGTTTATCTGGCTGAGTAAATAAACACTCCCTGGGCTCCTCGTGTATCCCGAGGTCCCCGGTCCCTCCCTCTGAGCTGGTGCTAACCAGTCACCCATTTAGGTTCTGAAGGATCCCTGAGAAATCCTCATCTCCTGAAAGGCACAGGCTGTGGAAACAGGCAGCCTGGCTTCAAACCTAGCTCTGCTGCTTAGCTGGGTGTGTGACTTTGGTAAGTCACGGCTCTTCTCAGGGAGATTCCCCCTCTGTAAAGTGAGCAACGTTCCGCTGCCCTGCCATGGCTGATGCAAGGATTCAATGAGTGACCTCATGCAAAACACACAAAAGAGTGCCCAGCACAGCCACCAGCGTCCAGGGGGTCAGTGTCTGACCCCCAGGTGACACCCAGGTGCAAGGTGGGTATGGGATCCACGCCAGTGGGTATAGGGTCCACCTGGCCTTAGAAGTTCCATGTACACAGGAGCCAATGACTCAGGTAACACCTCTATAGGAATGGACCCAGCTTCCCACCAAGTATTTATAGATATGCAATTTACTTATAAGGGTCATATTTACCCTAAGTCACGTTGCCCGGCAACACAGCTGACAATCCACCTTTATCAAGCTTCCAGCTAGAAAGTTACAAAAGCTCTGGTAACCCTTTACCCAGATAATAATAGGGCCTATTTCTGCAGGTTCTTCTGAGCAAAAAATAAAATTATATATACATAAAATTTCATGAATGTGTAAGGTATATTATTGAATTGCACATCCATGAAACAATAATTATATAATATTAGTATACAATAATATAATATATATTAGGTTGACGCACTTCAAACTGTCAGTATTTGACTGTTTCTCACCTCCAAATAATAGCAACTTCATGCGGCTCGAAGGCATTAAGATGGCTTTGAGCAGATCCTGGCCTACGTTAAGTGCTTAAAATTAATATTAATATGAATATTGTTCATATTAATTAATAAGATAATGCATATTATATTAGACAACATAAACAATTAAATATTATAACAGACAATATAATTAATTAGATAATAATTGATATTAATTTGTTATTATTATTGTGGGTACAAAGACACACATACATGGATCTTCATAACAGCATTGCTTATACTGCAGAAAAACTCCAATCACTATCCTCAGAGGGAGGGCTGGCTCAGTGCCTCCACGTAGAACTGTGTGCCACACAGAAGCTCAGAGTGGTTCAGAGCATAGGCTCTGAAAACAGAGTGCCTGGGTTCAAATCCCAGCTCTGCCGCATACTAGCTGGTTAAGAAACTTCCCCTTTCTGCCTCAGTTTCTTCATCTATAAAATGGAAAGAAGAACCCAACTTATAGAGTTGTTGCAAAGACTAAATGAGTGAGTCCACATGAGGCATTTAAAACAGTGCCTGGCACGCTATGAAGACTCCACAAATGTTAACTGTCATTACGGCTGTTATTGTTTATATCATTATTACAGAGCCATTGAAAAGGAAGCGGCAGCTCTAAATGTATCAGTGGAAAACAATCTCCACGACAGAGTCTTAAGCTAGAAAATAAAAGCCAACTAGTAGCTAATAGACATGTTTCTGAGAAAAACATTTACATGATAGAACAAGAGCTCCCAATTTCTAAGTGCTGGCCCCCTATCCACACGACTGAAACAAAACTCTTTTCATTGACTATTCACCCCTACCTCACACATAGCACTCTGCCACTGTCTACTCTATTTCATTTTAAAAGTTGGTAGCCGGACTTCCTTGGTGGTCCAGTGGGTGACACTCCACACTCCCAATGCTGGGGGCCCAGGTTCCATCCCTGGGTTTCATCCCTGGTCGGGGAACTAGATCCCGCATGCCGCAACTAACAGTCCGCATGCCACAACTAAAAAAGATACCACATTCTGCAACAAAGATCCCGCGGGCCGCAACTAAGACCCGGCGCAGCCAAAATAAATAAATAAATAAATATTTTAAAAAAAAACAGTTGGTAGCAACATACTCAATAAATGTTTTAACCCATTAATAAGCTGGGGTCCCCGGCTTTAAGAAGATCTGGAAGAAAGGATATTCAAGAAACAAGTAGCTGCCCTGCTTTTGGGGAGGGAGCCAGGGGCCAGTGGGGTGGAGAGAGGAGGCCTTCTTAGCAATATGCCTGGTTGGGTGGCTTTTAAAATTTACACCTGGGTAGGCACAGTCCCATTTCTCCAGGGGAGGGGTGGGGTGTTAGGCAGAAGAAAGAAAACGAATAATAAAGCTGGAGGCTGATAAACATTAATACCACTTGATCAGCCTTCCCTCTCCCCCAGGCCCACCGCAGTGAAAGCCACAGTTACCAGTGAGACCCAGGGTGAAGAGGCATTGGGGGGGCACCTGGAGGGAGCTGTGAACGGAGAAGAGGCAGGAAGAGGTGGCGGCGGCAGCGTGAGCAGTGGGGTCCTGGAGAACCAGCAGCTGGCGATCTGTCTTCTGGGTGAACAGGAGCTGCAGGAGAACAGGTGGGGTGGCTGGCCGCTGGAAGGATGCTCTGGTCCATGCTTCCAGAGCCAGCCCATTTCTTGGATGGAAAAACAAAGGTTCAAGGTCCCAAGAGAGCTGAAACGTGGTCTCGGTGAGGGAGGACTATGGGCAGAGATGACTGGTTCCCTGAGGAACCTGGAGGCTGGACCTCCTGCATCCCAGGGGGAAAAGGGACTAGGGGTTGAGAATCGTGGATCCCAAGGGAGAAGGGGGCAGGGGCCCCAGACTCCTGGGTCTGAGGAAGGAGGGGCTGACAGGCGCATGAAATCCCCATACCTTGGTGAGGGCCTGGTTGGACTCAGAGAAGTCCCCGCCAGGGGTTCCCTGAAGGCAATTAAGCTTGAACAGTCTGCTCCGTTCCTAGGGGACAGCAAGACATCAACGGCTGCCACACCTCAGGGTCGGAAAGGGCCATCCCAGCAGCTCTCCCTGATGCCAGGAGACATCTGGGGTGCAGGGAGGCAATGGGATGCCCTAGGGGGAAGTGAGGAAAGTAGGACAGGTGCCTGGGGTGAACTTACCTGGGTCAGGGCCTGAAGGGCCTCCTCCTTCTTCTGGCTCAGCCCCCGGCTCTCAGCTGCCATCTGCTCCCCCAGTGACTTGAGCTGCTCCTCCAAGACCTGGATCCGGCGCTGCAGGGCACCCCCCAGAGCACTGGTTACTCAGCTGCCCCAGGGTCCCCAGGCTGGTTCCCACAGAATCAGGTCCTCCTTGAGAGCTTGGGGTTTGTTCCACCCCATAACAGAAACCCTGGCATTTGGGTGCCTGGGAGGGGGTGGGGGACTTAGAGTTAACCTCCGTGGTGTCCTCCTCCCCTTTGGGGGGTCCAGAGAGACTTGAAGTTGAGTTGGAGGGATGGAGGATCCAGAATCCAGAGACCGAGAAAGACGGAGACACAGAGAAAGTCACCGTTGCCAAGAACAGAGAGAGAAAGAAAGGGAAAGACAGAGACAAACCAGAAGAGATACAGAAAAGAAGAACCAAGACAGACCCCAAAAGACAGAGGTGCAGAGACAAGACAGAAACAGAACAGAAACAGACAGAAGCCGTGAGACAGAAATGGGAAAAGAGACAGTGACAGGAAAAAGATCCAGAAATAGAGGCGGGGAAAGGAGACCCACATTAGAACTTTCTAATCCCAAACCCTGCGAACCTTTGTATTAAATACAGTCAAAATGTTGCTTTTTCCGGTGGGACTTGTCAGACCCTTGAATGTGAAGCCCCCAGAAAGAACTAGTGAGAGCATCATTTGGGATGAGGGCTTGAGAGGCAGGGAGCCTAGTGGCGAAGACGTAGTGAGTTCAGATCCCGGCTCTGTCCTTTATGAACTAAGTGACCTTGGAAAAGATTACTTGAGCACCTTGACCTTGAGTTTCTTCACTTATAAAATGGGAAAAAATATTAAGACGTGTCTCCCAGGATTGTTGTAAGGATTCAAGGACTCAATATTCGTGAAACATTTAGGACCGTGCCCAGCACATGGTAGGTGCTCAATAAATGTCAGCAACTGTCATTACTATTTTGAAATACGTGACACAGGGAAGACACGAGGACAAAGAAGGGAGCAGAGGAGACAGAGGGCAACGGCGAGGGAGGCAGGGCTAGCCCAGCCCGACTCACCCTGTGCTGCACCACGCTGGCCTGGAGTTCCTGGACCTTGGGGTCCAGTGCCCGGGCCTTGGGACTGTCCCAATCCTCCTCCCACTGGCTCTCCCGCTCCAGTTGCTGGAATTCCAGGTCCTCATAGGCATGCTGGGCCACATCCAGCTGTTCCTTCATCTGTGGGGGAAACACAAAAAGGCTGGAGGCCTGGACCTAGGAACCAGGAGGGTAGTGGGCTGGGGCCAGGAATCCTGGGCAATGAGGGAGGAGCGGCTGAGGATCTAGATTCCAGAGTCCTGGGGGTTAGGGAGCTGGAGCCCGAGCTACTAGGTGGGTGGGGAAGCAGAGGACTGAGGGCCTGGATGTCTGGGTCCTGAGTGGCCTGGACACCAGGTCCCTGAGTGGGTCCAGTGGACCCTCACCTCCTGCACTCCCTGCAGAAGCCGCTCACGCTGGTCTTCCGGCTGCAAGTCGAGCTGCCCCTGGGCCTCCCGGAGTCTCTGGCGAAGACCCTCCACACGATCCCGCTCCTGGCTCAGGTGCCTCTGCTCCTGAATGAACAACCAGGCTCTTAGCCTCAGCCTGAGCACAGGGAGGGAAACAGAGGCCAGCGGGGGCCAGGCCAGCCAGATCTCAAATCCCTCCCTGTCTGGGGTGTTGGCTCTATGAGGGCAGGGACCCTGTCTGACTGGTTCACACTTACACAGGCCCACCCAGGGCAGGTGTCAAGTAAACAGCTGTTTAAGAAATGAATGAGGGGACAGATGAGTGGATAAAGAAGATGTGGTGTATATATACACAATGGAATATTACTCAGCCATTAAAAAAATGAAATAACACCATTTGCAGAAACACGAATGGAACTAGAGATTATCATACTAAGTGAAGTAAGTCAGAAAGAGAAAGACAAATACCATATGATATCACTTACATGTGGAATCTAAAATATGACACAAATGAACTAATCTACGAAACAGAAACAGACTCACAGACATAGAGCACAGACTTGTGGTTGCCAGGGTTGGAGATGGGGGAGGGATAGATTGGGAGTTGGAGTTAGCAGATGCAAACTATTATATACAGAATCGATAAACAACAAGGTCCTACTATATAGTGCAAAGAACTATATTCAATATACTGTGATAAACCATAATGGAAAAGAATATGATAAAGAATGTATATATATATATATATATATATATGTATAACTGAATCACTTTGCTGTACAGCAGAAATTAACACAACATTGTAAATCAACTATATTTCAATTAAATAAGTTAAAAAAAAATGAATGAGGGAATGAATGCAAAATATATCCAGGCTGGGTGATTGATACTGGGGACCCAGAAGGGGGTTTGACCTGGGCCCTGTGCTCCAGCAGGGGACACAGTCAGTTACAGTCTGGGACAATCAGGGCAGTGAAACACAGAGACTGTGGGAACCCAGAACGTGGGGAGCAATTTCTACTGGGGTAATCCTAGGCTTCCTGGATGTGAGGATTTTAAGGTGAGTCTCAAAAAAACAGGGAGTATTTGGGAATTCCCTGGCTGTTCAGTGGTTAGGGCCCCATGCCTCATTGCAGGGGGCATGGGTTCGACCCCCAGTCAGGGAACTAAAATCCCACATGCTGTGTGGCGTGGCTGGAAAAACAAAAACAAAAAATAAACAAAAACAGGGAGTATTTAGAGTGGTGGAGATAGAGGGGGCTGGAAGGGCATTTTGGAGAGGGGAACAGCATGGAGCAAATGAGTGGAAGTTGAAAAGTACAGGAAGTGTAGGGACAAACTCTGGTCAAGAAGGGAGAAGGTGGGGTAGAGGGAAGAGATGGGGGGCACAGGTGGGACATGACAGTGGAAAGGCAGGCAAGGTGCAGCTCACATTCGGTTTGGCCCACCAGGCTGAGGAGCCCTCATCCTGGGGCAATGGGGAGCCATGGAAGGACTGAAAGGATCTAGGTGTGGAATCATCCCTCTGGGAGATAGGCTTGAGGGGTTGAGACCAGCTCTTTCATGAGTCCTCCAAGCAATAAGAGTGAGGTGAGGTCTGAGCAGTGCAGATATAAAGGAGACAGATTAGAAAGAGAGGTTCAGGGAGCACAAAGAACAGGACATGGTGACTGACAGGCTTTGGGTGAGAGATAAGGAGGCACGCAGAGCGAGGCTCAGGACTCTGACCTGGTGGCCAAAGGGACAGTGATACAGGGACAGTGTGGAAAAGGGAGTTGCTGAGGTCACCTTTGGATAAGGTGAATGAGAAGGGGCCAGACTCCTGAGTCTGAGGGAGGACGGGCTGGGGGCCTGGACTCCTGGGTTAGAGGGAGGAGGGGCTGGGGTCTGGAATCCCAGGTCCTGGGGGAGGAAGGAGCATCTAGGAACCAGTATCCTAGGAAGCGGGACACGTAGGTCTACATTTTGAGAGAGAAATCAGGGCTGGGAGAAATATAGGCTCTTTGAAGTAAATGAAGACTCCGGACCCAGCCCCAGGAAATTCCAATATATAAGGGCAAAGAGAGAGTTAGATAGAATTACAAAGTTACCATTTTCCAACCTATAGTGCCAACTGGTCCAAGCAATGACCACCAATGGATGTTAAAGCCTTTAGGTAAATGACTATCACTAAGGCATCAGACTGACCTCACTGAGGTCTGGAGGACCAGAGACAATGTCCCCCTGACCCAGCACATCTGAATTTGACCCAGCCTCTACATCTAACCAACCACCCGCTTCCAGGAAGAGAAACGAGATAAAGGACACCCCCGGCAGTCAACAGGTCACACACTGACCATGGAACAGAAGACCTGGTTTCTCCAACAAATAGTACAGTAAACAGGGACCATTAGACGTGAAACAACACACACAGGCATTTCACCAACTACAACATACTTGGCCTCTGGGGGGCCGGATTCAAACAGCCAACTGTTAGCTGTTTTTGAGACAACCTCGGACCCATGAAAACTGACTGGAAATGAGACAGTATTAAGAACTTATTAATTCTTCAGGTGTGACAATGATATGGGGATAATGTTTTTTTAAAAGGAGTTCTTATCTATAAGATAAGAACTAAAGCATTTACAGGCAATATGATGTCTGGGATTGGCTTTCAAAACTAGGGACAGGGGAGCCAGTTGGGGGATAGGAAACAGGAATGGAGGATTAATCCCTGCTGAAGCTGGGGAGCACGCCACCTGGCAGCCTGTCTGACTCCTCTATTTTTGTTGGTTTGATGTTTTTCACAATATGACATTTAAAGAGCAGAGAGAGATGGGGCAAAGGAAGATGAACCAGTGAGTCAGGCCCCAAAGTCATGGACAAGGAGGGAGGAGCAAAACAGGAAGAGGCATAGGCCCACTCCCCGCGCCCTGCCCCCAGCCCAAGGATCCCCGTTTGGGAAATGGGGATAACCTCAGGGCCCAGGGCCCAGAAGCACCACAAGGAATGTCTGTCCAACAAGGAAGAAAACTGAGGAGGAAGACCCAGCAGGGCAAACAGACCTGTTCCCGCTGCTCTTGGACGCCCTTTTCTGAGTCCACCTGCTGCCCCAGCAGCTCCCAGAGCTGCTCCTCCTCGCACCAGACGGCCACTCGCTCCCCAGCCAGTTCACCCCGAAGCAGGGTCACCTCCACCTCCATCTGCGGAGAGAATACAAGGCCTGGGACCCAGAGGCCTGGGTCTGAGTAGGAGGGGGCTGGGGGCTTGGACACCTGGGTCTGAACGAGGGACCTGTGAATCTGAACTCCTGGATTCGGAGAGAGGATGGAGCTGGGCTCCCGCAGTTGGAAAGGACCGGGAGTCTGGCCTTGCGGGGTTCCCCAAGAGTTGGGGGCAGAATTCCCAAGAGGTCTGCAGCCTCACCTGGATCCTCAGTTCCTTCCTCTGACGCTGTAGCTCCCTCACTCGCTGCTCCAACAAAGCCACGCGAGTCAGTGCCTCCAACTGCTGGGCTCTAAGCCGCCGCGCCGCCCCTCGCACCCCTTCCCCAGCCTGAGAGGCTGCGGGTGGCTTGGCCGGGATCTGAACGGAAGGCAAAGCCTTCACCTGCGGTTGAAGAGGGCGTGGTCAATTGGGGAGGACTCGCCCCCTGCAGTCACTAAATAGGTCTGTTCTCCATCCCAAACATCCCCTCAGGCGGTCTGAGTCGGCGTTTAACTCTACCACCAAGTTCTTTTAATTCAAGGAGGGGAAGGTGCAGGTCCGGGGACCGCTCGGCCTCGGGAGGTGGCCCAGGGGCTCGCAGTGCCCAGGGGCACAGAGCCGACACAAGGATGGTGTTTCTTTTTCTTTATCCAGTTCCCATTCTCTTGGCGTCACGTCTTCGAAGGTCCTGCATCTCTTTCTCTCCCCCCGGGTCTCCTTGAGTCTTTCCCCCTTTTATCTGGGCTTCATCTTCCTGACCCAGTATCTGTCTTCCGTCTCTGAATCGCTATTTCTCTTTCTCCCTTGGAGTATCTCCATCTCTCAAGGTTTCTCTGTCTCTCTTTCTGTTTCTCTGAGCATCTTTGTTTCTGAGTTTCTGCCTGTGTCTCTATCCCCATCTCTCTGAGTCTCTGTCTCTGGTCTTTCAGTGTCTCTAACTCTTTTGGGTCTTTGTCTCTCAGTCTCCCTGTCTCTGGGTCTCTGTCTATCTGGTCTTTCTATACCTGTCTCTCTGTCACCCGTTTGGGTCTGTCTCTCTGGGTCCCCCCGTGGCTCTCGCCCTCCGGGTCCCTCACCGCATCGCGGCTGCTCTCCGTGCAGCTGCCTTCTCCCACCTCTTCCTCTTCCTCCGTCTGCTGCTCAGCCCCTTGGCCGCTCGGAAGCTCTGCTGGGGCCTCGGGCACCTCCTGCTCGCGGGAGTCCTCGGGGAGCTCCCGGGGCTGGGCGGCCCCTTGAGATCGGACCTCTGCGTCGCATTCGGGGACCGCGGGCGGCGGGGTCCCCTCGTCCGGGCTGCTCCGTGTCCCCATGGCCTCTGCGGACTCCTGTCGGGTGGGCGGAGCCTGGAGTTCGGGAGGCGTGGCCCGGTAGCGTGGGGGCGGGGCCCAGGAGGGCTCAAGGCCCCGCCCGAAAGCTCTGGAGAGCGCTCCAGAGGCGGGGCCTAAGAGTTCAAAGGAGGCGACTGAGCATTCCTGAGGCGCGGCCTGGAGTTTCTAGGGGCGGGGTTCGATGGCTCCTAGGGCGTCACTCCCCCGGAGGCTTGACCAGAATTTGAGTCCGGGGTCCTAGTCCGCCCCCTACCGGCCTCTCCCTGCTATCCAGGTGTCGAGCCTTGTACTCTCCCAGCAGCCCCGCACAATCCCTTGGACCACTTTAGAGGGACCCCAACACCTTCTCCTTCGCGGACTCAGGAGTCGGGTTCCGCCGCGTCCTCTCTGGAGCCCAGTAATCTCAGCTCCGACCCCACTGTGCAAGGGAGCGGGCCCCCTGCCGCCTCACCGAGGGCTCCAGGAGTCGGGGCTCCTGGTCTCCCTCTCTCTGGAAGAACCAGGGGGCTTGAATCCTCGGCTCCTCCTGGAGCTAGATTCCAGAACTCCAGCCCCCTCCACCACCCAAGCCCCGGCCCCCTCACCGGCTCAGGCTTCGGTGCGCTCCCTTCTGCGCTCCGGCGCTGCAGTTTCTGCCCACTAGCCAGGTGGCTGGGGAAGAGGGAGGAGAGAGAGGCTGCTCTGTCCCCCTTCCCAGCAGCCCGGAAGTGGATGGGGACAACAGGTCCAACAGCTCTCGAGGGAGGAGGGAGCGACCAGCTTGCCCCGCCTGCGGCCGTGGCATCCGGCCATCCCGGCCCCACCCTCGGAAAGCCCAGCATGACGACCCCCCCAACTCTGCATCCAGCGCCCCCATTCCTCCCCCCTGGAGGGCCAGGCTACTTGGTCACCTATGTATAATGTCCAAACCCTGGGAATCCTGAAAGGAAGAGGGGAATGGAGATAGGGGCCTCTCCCCTCTAATGAGCCCTTTAGAAGGGCCCCGACCGGTCTGGGGAGCTGGGCAAGGGGAGGGGGGTGCCCTGAGCTGAGTCAGAGACCCGCCCAGAGACAGGGGGAAGTATGTTCCCCCCACCACCACTTTGCTATGGGTGGAGGGCAGAGGTTAAAGTTCTCAGCCAGACCCTTTCCTCTCTGGGCAAAAACAGGAAAATAACTGGTATGTGAGAAAGGATCCCTGGATATCAGGAGCTATGTGTATCAAGTCTAAACATTTTACACGCATTAATTTATTTCATCCTTACAGCGGCCTACAGTAGAGAAAGGGATTACTATCTCCATTTTATAGTTAGGAAACTGAGGCTGAGGGGGACAAGTGTCCGCAAAGTCTACACATGTTAATGTTAACACCATATTTGTTCTCTCGAAAGTCCATGGTCTTTAGCATTAGGCATCCTGTCACTCAAGCCAGGAAGTGCCTCAGAGCTCATTTCAAATGATAGTAACAGTAATAGTGAACACTGATAGGAAGTCTGCTGTGCAGGCAGTGTACAAAGCACTTCATACATATGGACTCATTGGATCATCACAACACCCTATTATTATTACTATTATTCCCATTTTACAAATGAGGAAACTGAGGCTTGGAGAAGTGAAGTACCTTATTCTGGGTCTCATGGGGCAAGTAGTTTAAACTGAAGACTGTTCTAATCCCAGGAGCTGAGGAACCCTGCCCCAGATATCTGTTTGCTTCTATTTTATGAGTTAGAAGATCTCCTTCCAGGCTCCCAGGACCTTTACGCTGCCTTGCTCCCTGGCCTATCCAGGGACCAGAACTAACCACAGGCATCTCAGCCCAGAAACCCATTGGGTCCCCCAGAAAACAGAAGTCAGATTCAGAGGGGAAAAAAAATATATATATATTTTTTATTTAAGAGGCTTGAGAGTCTGGTAAGGGAGGGGAAGATAAGAGAGGCTCTGGTGATGGCACCGCGCCCCTCACCCCACCTAGTGCATTATTAACTGGATATGAGCACCTGAGAGTCAGGAAGGGGGTGTCTGGATCCCACAGCGCATGTTAGCTGGAACAGCAAAGTCTGAAAGGAAGAAGGTAGGGGTGAAACCAAGGGGCCCAGGCAGACCCTCCCACTCTCTCTGTGCCCCCACTGGGGACCCAGAAATCCTAATAGTCCTTCTTTGGGAAACTAGACTTCTGGCCCTGAGGCCCCTCCATCCCTCAGACCCAGGAGTCCAGATCCCCAGCACCTTCTCCCTCAGACCCAGGAATCCAGACCTCAGCACCCTCCTCCTCCACCCCAACGGCTCACCTATCTGCTGAGGTTTGGGCAAGTTCAGTTTGCTCATGACCTTGACAAACTCCTCACAGCTGAGGGTGAGCCGAGGGTTTAGAGTCCGCTCCTCCTCCACAGTGGATACTGTGAGTCCTAGTGGCCAAGAGAGGGGGAGGAATGTTGAGAGGTCCAGTGCCTTGGGCCTCCCAGAACTACATTTCCCAGGAGGCCTCAGGGTGCCTTTCTGGCCCAGGACTAAGATTGCTTTCCCTCCTCAGTGGGCACTATGGGAAATGTAGTTTCCCACAGTTCCCTAAGTTCTATAAGGAAGTCCCAGGAAAGCCTATGCCTTCCGGATTCTAGGCATCGTGGTTTCTACATCCACACTCAGTACACCTAAGCACTTGATCTTTTTGGCCAGAGGAGTTCCTGGGAATTGTGGTCTGCAAGCCACAGCACTTTGGTGCTCCCTCTCAAATAGTAAGCTATGTAAATCCCACACCTCCTCCAGGAAGCCCTCACCATGGTAATCATGAGCAGGGTAGATCAGACAGTCTCCTGGAAGTGTGAAGATCTTTTCATGAACTGAGTGGTACAAGGTCTTAGCACAGCCTGGGGAGGGAAAACTCAGAGGTCAGTGGAGCAACAGGATGAGAGAAGCTCCCAAATCCCTTCCCTTCAGGAAAAGGAGAGGATAAAAATCACTGTAGCTGAACCATCTCCCGCATTTTCTGCCAGTAGCCCTTTGACTGGGTAGAGAAGGAGAGGGAAGGGCATTCTAGGCAGGTGGAACAGCATATGCAAAGAATTGGGAAATGGTGAGAATTCAGCATGACTGTAAACAAGGTTAGGATATGACCCTGAAGCACCAAATTCCCTCACTCTGGGGATGCCAAGAAAGGATTCTGGGCAGGGAAAGTGGACGGGAAGATAAGAAACTGAAGACATGAGGCCAAAGAGGAGGATAGAGCCATGGTTCTGACAAGAAGCTCTGAGTCTTAAGTTGGGACAGGGACAAACCTCTCTGGAACGTTCTGCCACCTTTCCTTTCAGCCTAAATCTTTCGATCTCATGACTGTGTTGGGGATGGATAAGTGGAAGATCAGGAGCCTCAGAGAGAAAAAGATAGAGACCAAGATGGAGAGATAAGGAAAGAGGAAGAAAGAGGCAGCCTGGGGTTCTGGTTACCCACAGCCAGCTCAGCTCGCTGTGGCTCTGTCTCTTCTCTCTCGTCCAGCCTTGCTGGCCTCCTGCAAGGCAGCTAAATCCTCCCAATCTAGTGTCCACCTCACATTCACACACATACTCAAATCTCATACCCTGATATTGTGAAAGTAAACACCCTTCCCGCAGCAAAACCCCTTAATCTAATTGCCCCCAGCAGCTAAACCCCAAATGTAACACCACCTCCTAGCAATTAAACCACTGAATCTAGCAACCTTCTAGCAGGTAAACTGCCAAACCTAACTTCCCCCAGCAGCTAAACCCCTGAATCAAACTCCACACCCCTCCCCGCACCAGCGAAACCCCTTATGGGGGGGGGGGTTAAAAATATGCCCATGAACACTTTGAAACTCTTCTCTTGAAAATGTGACACATAACTCCCCTTGCCTTGACTTAGTGGTCTGGACTAAGTGACTTGCATCTAATAAATAGGATATGGCAGAACTAACAGAGTTTAACTTCTGAGACAAGCTCATTAAAAAAAAAAAAAAAATTAGGTCTTCTGTCTGCCTGTCTCTCTGATTGTTCCCTCTGGGACAATCCAGCTGCCATGTCATGAAGACACTCAAGCAGCCCTATGGAGAAGTCTGCATTGTGAGGAACTGAGGCCTCCTGCCAACAACCAGCAAGAGCTCACTGGCCACGTCAGTGAGCCACCTTGGAAGTGGATCCTCCAGCCCCAGTCAAGCCTTCAGTCAGCCCTGGCCAGCAGCTTGGTTGCAACCTCACGCAAGACCCTGAGCAAGAACCATCCAGTTAAGCTTCTCCCAGAGTCCTAACTCTCAAAACCTGTGTGAGATGATGTTAATCATTGTTTTAAGCCACTAAGTTCTGGGGTGATTTGCTTTACAGCAATAGATAACTAACACACACTCTTGACACTAACTGTCCCCCAGCCACTAACCTCTGAACCCAACTCCCCTCCACTCCAGCACTAAACTCCTTGAATCTAATCCTGACCCCCTAAAAGTCTAACATTCATCCATTCATTCTTGCAACTGACACTTAAAACCCTGGCACCCACATAACCATACTAAGATCTCGGGCTGGGGAAAGGGGCCTGTGACCTTGCTGGAAGTCTGTCCGTCCACACCCTCGGATAAGCAGAGCATCTCCAGTGAAGGCCATGCTGTGGTCATCCAAGACGAAGGTGACACAGCCTGGGGTGTGGCCCGGGCTGGCCCGGGTCTCCAAGGCCTGGAAGAGAAGGAGAGTACAAAGAGTCACCGATAAGGCTGTGGCTTTACTCTCATGGTGAAACTGGCCTCAGAAGGCCCCCACCCCATCCCATCCCAGGGTCACATCTAGATAACCTCTTTTTGATAAAAAAAAATACTGAAGTTAGATCCCGGACTTAAACCTCACTCCAGAGTAAACTCCCCCCAAATTAAAAACTTAAAGCAAGAAAATAAAATCATAAAACAGTGACAACAACAAAAATACAAATAAATATAAGATCTCTGGTTAGAGAATAACATCCATCCCAAAAGTCATAAATCATTAAGGGAAAGACCAATGGTTTGAATT